GTATGCACATCTGCGTGAGTTGGTCCCCAGGACCCATGCACAGCTACTATCTGCCTACTAATTGACAATGCAACTGTTGACGTCAGCAGACAACGAAGTACTTGAAGATATCAACCAATGCAGACCATCGCCAATACCAGGTATCTGCCCTCACATCATCATCATCGTCATCATCCTTCTCTCTCTCCCTCGACTTTCACCCACGTCTTCCCTCTGTACACCCGGAGACCACCCCTGCGCCTCACTGTAGTCCAAGCCCCAGCCAGCTATGGAGGCTGGGCTATGGCGCTGCCCTCAGCAGCGCCCTTCTTCTCGCTTGACCGCACGCGCACAGCACCTTGCCCTTAGCGCACAGCAGCACGCGAGCCTACGCTCCAGCAGCGCTGCCGCACAAACTGGCAAGTGCCTTAATGACCCGCCAGGCAGCGAGCTCTTTCCTATATGGAAAGAGTCTCGCCTGGCCTACGGCCTGGCTGGGCTGGGCCTGCGCCCAGAAGCCTCCGATAAGCCCCAGGAGGCATGGCCTCTGCTGCTGCAGCTGGGCCTCATTCCATCATGCCTCCAACTGCCCATGTATGTTGGTGCGATTGTGGCCCAGGGCCTGCATTTCCAGAAAGTCATGAAAGGCCGAAGAAAGTATTTGCAGCACGGGTCCTGGGTTCCCTCAACCAACTGGCACGACACAGCTGCCTGAACCCCGAAATGCGAAATTGACAGCGAGGGCCTTTGTGCTCTGCCAGGCCCGCCTTCACTTAGGGCGGGCAAAATCTGCAGTAAGGGCCCCTTAGGCCTGCCAAGGAGCCTGATCCTTGCAATATCTTTGTAAACACATTCACACACACACCCACAGCCAAACAATTCCTCCCCACGCCCATACACATCCACAAATTTCTCGTTCAAGAGAATGCCGTGCCAATACATATCAGATGAAAACTGTGAATGGCATTTCTTCTGGAAGAGCCTCCGTGTGTTCCGGATCACCATGGCCACAACAGCCCAATGAATGTGGTAGTGAAATCTGAAATTTGAAATTTCCATCTTCCATAACGACAAAGACATTGCCAATGAACATCACTCTCTTGATAAGCTTGTTGTTGTTCTCACCTGATCAATGAGCTGCCGTCGAAACTTGTTCTTTGGATCAAGAACTTTGGCCCACAGCTCATCATCCTGCCTCTCAACCACATACCTGCAGGGAGAAGGGTACTTCTGTTAGAATTCTATAGCCCTAAACCTCCAAACAAGAGAACAAACCAGGCAAGCACGAAGGTTGAACAGCGCAAACAGAGTCCTTTGGACATCCGTTGAAAGTTGAAACCGGAACGATACAGAGAAGATTGGCATTGCCCTTGTGCAAGGATGACACACATAAATCGAGAGATGGTCCAATTTCTTTTCCTTGAAAAGGAACAATGTGCAAGGAGCGATAGACAGAAAACCAAGTTGCAAAATCGCACAGATGTCCAGAGAGTCGTGTACCAAGCAGACAGCTTAAATGCACCAAGATTCCATCCACATAAGAAAAAAAAGCAGTGAACTCGTGTGCCAATGTTATCGCCCTCAGGCCCACCAACACAGTATCCAATGTTGCTCATCTCTGTCTGGCGCGCCAGCCTCCTCTACTGAGCCTATCTAGCCTATCTACATTCTTGCAACAGGATCACTCCGACGTTGAAGACCAATGTACATAACGTCAACACCAATGCCGACCTCCCACATACACCAGGTACCTTCTCTCTCCTCCCCTCATCAGACCTTGACCACCCACTCACGCGCCTCCTACCCGAAGACCACCTTCGCTCATCACCCGCATGCGCGCGCCCCTGCAGCCCGGCTATGGCTGTCGTCCGTCCGCTGCCCTGAAGCGCCCCTCTCACCTCATAGTGCCCGCGTGCGCCCCAGTCAGCAGCGCACATGCAGGCACTTGCGCAGCAATGCAGCAGGGTGTCCGCATTGCCTGCCTAGGCCAGAATCCCCTCAGCCTGCCCAGCGAGTTGCGGCCCTGTTTGGCTGCGTGGGTCTGGCTGAGGAAGCTCCCAGTAGCTTCTGGTCGGGCCCCAGTGTCTGCGGCCAGGACCTGTCCAACAGTTGGGGGCCTGGGCCCTTTCTGGTTGGGCACGACCAGACAGCCTCCAGGCTCCAAGTGTTTGCCGTATTCCCATTGGTTCGCTGGGCCTCTGTGACGACAATGCTGCTTTCTGATTCGCCCGTGGCCACTTCGTGACGTGTCAGCCTCGTCTGCCCAGGGCGCAACCACCCGGCCCTGGGCTCAACTGCTTGACGCAGCTGCTGTCTCTGGAGGGATCCCAGGGAGAGGCTCACGTTGCAATTCAACCAACTGCCGTGCTGCAACTGTCTGATACCCACATTGGGAAATGCTGAGATAAGGGCCTCTCGTGGATTTTCTGGCCCACCTCCACTTAGCGCGGGCACGATGCTTGCTGGGGCCCACAGCCCATACCATGTGCATGTTGGCTAGGGCCCCGTGAGGGCACATTCTTCACAATCCATCCCCCTTGGCTTCGAAAGACCGCTGAGATCCTTGACCTTTAACCCTCTTTCATAATCTGCCACAATTTGAGGTGCTGTTTCAACCAGTTCCTCTCTTGTGAACCATCAGTCTTCTTTTGGATCTGGTGTGATGCCTGAATCTGAGCTGGTACTCCCTCTTGGGTTTCAACGGTCTTCCTCTACCCACAGGCTTGGGAACAGGCATATCTCTGTGCTCCAAAATGTCGCTGTGGCCTTCCATGGTTGGGGGCAGCATTGATCTCCTTGATGGGAACTGCTGTGTCTCAGCGAGAGGTGCAAGCTTTGAGGTGTGAAACACAGGGTAAGTACGCCAGTGACCACGAATTCAAATAGCGTATGGACCATCCAATATCCAAGACTTCCCAAGGACCAAACCACTGGGGCATTAGTTTCCAAGACTTCCCCAAGGACCAAAGCGCAGCATCTGCTGAGGCATTAGTTTCCAACTCACTACCCACAATATCCAACACTTCCCAAGGTCCAAAGTACTCGGGCATTAGTTTCCAAGAGATGCTGAATCCTTGTCCTAGCTCACTAGCCTTGACCCAGACACGTTCCCCTGCCTGAAATGTGGACTGTCGTCGACGTTTGTTCTCAGAAGCAATCAGTGCTTCTTGAGATTTCTTTCTTAATGTGCTTGACAGCCTGCTGCAACAACTTCTCATACTGAACACCAAATTAGTTCCAAGAGTTGCAGCAGATCGGTTTTCAGGCAGGAGCAAGTCTAGAGCAGATCTAGGCTTCCATTCCAAATGCAGCTGATTCGGACTGACACCGGTGGTGCTGTGTACAACGTTTTGTACAGACTGGTGATGAGAGGCAACTTCTCATCCCAGTCCTGGCTGGGCTTAATGTAATGCCTCAGCAGATGCTGCACCACACGGTTCATCTGTTCAGCTCGACCGTTGGCTTCGAGATGATTCCCCAAAGTCATTTGGAGTTGGCTGCCCATCTGTTCAGCAGCTTTCTTCCACATCTCACTGGTGAAACGGACATCTCTATGTTATGTACCCGATTGAACTTCAATCCACAACGAATTCACACGTTCCCATACACGCATGCAATTGCAGAGTAGACTCGAAGGAGGCAGATCCACACAAAACCGGAAAGAAGAAATGCACAGCGGAAGCTCGAAGTACACAGGGAATTGAAAATTGAATTTCAATTCTGTAATCCCCCGTCCTCCTCCAATCAATCCAAAGTACTTGTTCCAAGAATCACAACCACGTTCACAACAACCCCGAACAATCAAAAAGAAGTGTTCAACGAAGTCTGCAGGAGTCTTCTTCTTCCTTTTCGCCACCTCATACCTCTGGCTATGGCTGCCGTAGCAGCAGTAACCCCACAGCTGTCACAACGTGCAAATCTGAACCAGCAGCCTCAATGATAGCTGCGCCAGCTCAGCGCCTGCACTGAAGTGGAGTGCTGGAAGTCCTGATGAAGAAGGCAACGACTGATCCAGCACTTCGAAGAAGAGAAAAACGCGAAGAAGAGAAAATCGAAGTTCCTCATGAGGAGGAACAGCAGATATGGCTGCCAAGTGAAGAAAGGCAGCGCCCAAACCCAACAACAGTCTTGTGGAAGCCCCTGTGCAGAGCTGCTAAGTAGCAGCAGTGCAATCTCCAACTTCATGCCCCAGCCCCAGCTATGGCTGGCTTCAAGGAAGAAGATGTCCTCGTCCAAAATAACGCAGCAACACTTCGGCCACGAACAGGCAGAGTTTCCCCCAGCAAAACAACGAGGAAAAGACCCGCACTATTTTTCCTGCCCGCTACTTCTACACTCCGCTAGACCTACGACCGCCTCCCCAAACCTACAACCCAAAACCTATCTGTATCTAGATGGAAACAGGGGAAAAGGAGGCCTAGACCTATGACAAGGCAAAAGAAAAGGCCGAATGGCCTAGGACTACCAAACAGGGACTACTTGTTACGGACTCCGCCAGGGCTCGATCCCTGGTCTATCTTTTTGCTGTTTCGACTGCATCCCGTTTTCGGCCTGGCACCCTTTTTCCAAACCCCTCCTTTGGTACCGTAGGATTTTGGACAACTGGCGCCATGTTGCAATTCGAGCGCCACTTTCAAATACTGCATTTTTCAGTTCTGCCCTCGGGGCCTTTGCAGATATGCCCCTGGTACCGTACGTGTCACCGGTACTTATACCGGCTCCCCGTACGGTACGGGGACCAATCTCGTACCAGTTTTCGGCTGCTGTACTCGTACTCAGTGTGACTTGCTGTTTCGGCATTCAGAATCCAAGACTTCGACTTTGTGCCTTGCCACTGTGTCTGCGTCCGACCCTCAGTCCGCGTCAGTCCTGTCGAGTGAGTGTGTGTGTGTGTGCTCTCACTCTCTCCCTCTCTCCCTCTCTCTCTCCTCTCCCTCGGCTCACCCTCAGCCTCACGCCCGTCACACTCGTATCGGAGCGGTTCGAACCCGCCCGACCCACCCTGCTTCGTCGCCATCACCTGGCCATCATCAGCATCATCGTCGTGATCGTCGTCGCAGTGCCACGTCGTCGTCACGATCGTCGCCGTTGTGCCACGTCATCACCATCATCGTCACGATCGTGCCACGTCATCATCATTGCAATCCTCGTCGTCGTGCCACGTCACCATCGCCGTGGCCGTCGTCCTCGTCGCCACGCCGTCCCATCCTTGTCATCGCCGCTGCTACCCCGCACAGATAAGTCATCGACGACAATTTTTTTTTTTTTCCTTATTTTTATCTACCTCTTCGATTCTTCTTCTTCTCCTTTTCATCTTGGTCTTCTTCTTTTCAGGAGCGGTTCGAACCTGCCCGACCCACCCTGCTTCATCGCCATCACCTGGACATCATCAGCATCATCGTCGTGATCGTCGTCGCAATGCCACGTCATCGTCACGATCGCCTTCTTCTTCTTCTTCTCCATCTTCCCCCCCCCCGTGC